GTGAGGGGAGTTATTGTGCTGGTCCACAGTAACCGGCTCCTCTTCCACCACCATTTATCTCCCTCCCCAGCGACATCTGGGCTGGGCTATTCACACTCTCAGCATTCTATCTGCTCCAGCAAACACTCAGCCTTTTCTGCTTGGATCAGGAGATTTTTTAGTTACATCCATTCTATGGTATCAACCTTTATGGCAGCAAGATAATTGCCAAAGAGCTCAGAGGATAAAAGGTCCTTCTTCATAAGGACCGCCCCCACCCCTTTAACAGAAAATCAACATTAACATTGAGCAGGACAGTGGGAGACTCTCCCTGTTGCCTCCTCCAAGTTGGAAACACGATTTTCAGAAAACACTCACTTGGCCTCAAGGGCAAGCAAGGGTTCCAGACAGTGAGTCCCAACCACACCTGAGTGAGGCACAGGTGTATGCAGGGGAGGCCTGGCAGCCTTGGCCCCACAACTGCGAGACAGCCACTGCGCCCCGCGTGTGATGAGTGCTCTGGAAGGCAGCCAGTGCAGTTTCAAACCGTTTAGACCCCTTGTCTGCAGCCCGACCCGGTGACCAGGAGGCCTGCCCCTGGTGGCCTCCTCGGGGAGGCTGGATCAGGGGTACTGAACAAGAGGCTCTGGGGCCTGCTTGGGCCCTGTCTGTGCTGCTGGTTAGAAGCTAGAAAGGGAGAGCTTGTGCTTTCACAGGCTTCGGCCTGGCCTTCTGCCACTGTCTGCCTCCACCTTCTCCCCTGTCCCTGGGAACTCTGCCCCATTTCTTTCTCTAGGCAGCTACACCCGTGCCTTTACTTTCCCCCGAAGGACGATTTTGTTGAGAAATGAGCGCTCAGACCTGGAGGGGAACCTGACTCAGAGGTGCTGAACGGAGGGCCAGGAGGAAGGGCAGTCCCGCAGGAGCACTGCTCCAGGCTTTGAGGAGCGCGGGTTTCTGAGCCCGAGTCTAAGGATCCCCGCGATGATGCCTCGTGGCAGGGAAAGGAAAACCAGAAGCAAAGAAAACCACTTACCACCTATGCAAAGCCCCTTTGAGGACAGCAGTGCACACACAGTCAGAAAAGGCACTTATTTAAGATCCCCTGGTGTCCCTTTTGTCCCACTACAGGAACTGTGTTTCCCGGAGCTGCCCCATTAACAGGTGCCTTTGAAGCCTGACAGCATCACACTTAGACGGGACAGGACGGGCATGACCTGCCCTGGCCAAGCTTGCCCTCCCTCTGCCTTGCTGAAAAGGACCTAGCCAGTGAGTCTCCTACCTGAAGATGCAGTCCACAGGTGGCCCCTCTGTCCCCACCCTGCAACAGGCGATTTCCTGGCTGAGCTTAAGCATCCAGTGACGTTCCTGTTTCAGCCCACACATCTGTGTCACTGTCAGCGTCAGTGGCAGGAAAGCAGACGAAGTCACCCTCTGCGGATGATTCCCTAACATGGAATTTCCTCCTATCTGCCACTGCTTTTCTTCTTCCAAGCTGCCCCCTCCCAACACTTTGCAGGGACGCGGGAGAGTGAAGAGGGTCAGGGCAGGAAGTGGATGCTTAGAGAGGGAGTTTGTAAGGAGCAGGTTCAGCTCCTGCAACTTTTCCAGGGGGAAGAGGGCGGACTGCTCCCATCCCAGGCACAGGACAGAGAGCCCCTTCTCCCTCTTGCCCCTTTCTTGCCTCCCCCTTCGCAAGGTCCCGTGCAGCCCCCTTCTCAAGGCAGCACCCTGTGGCAGGCATGGCCCCATGCAGACTCCAGAGGAAGCAGGCGCCTGCAGAGGGTGAGGCAGCCCCGGAGGAGCCAGGATCAGGTGCAGGGCACCACCAGGCCACCAAGCAGTGTAGGAGCCCACCATTGTGCCCTCTGGAGTGTCCCAGCCCCTGTGCGGACTGTTCCAGAGGAAGGAGGCTGTTACTTTAAGGGAAGCCGCCCATTAGCTGCTCTGCCTGGCAGCAAACAGCTGGTCTGTCCCAGGTTCAAGGCCATTTCAGCTTCTCTCTTATGGAGGCACCATATGCTCCATCTCGCACATCAGCAGCTTTATTTTCCAAGGATCTTGCTCCGGAAGAGGAGCACAGAGGGGGTGGGGAGAAGAAAACCAGAACCGCTAGCTCACCCTGTGCTTACTTTCTTGGTTTTAGATGCAGCTGGGGTGCGAGTGCGTGCGTGTGCGCGTGCGCATAGTGGGAGGCTAAGGCTTTGCCTTCTACCTCAAAGACCAGGGAACAAGTGCCAGACCAACACTTACTAATAACCTCCGGGGACGGGCACTGAGAGGCGCGGGGCGAGACGGGAAAAGGCAGCAGTACTGTGTATGACATTCAATGGGAAGGGGCCGGGCGGGCAGAGCGCAGGAGGAATCTGCCTCTGCTTGGAGCCTGACCCGCCTCAGCGGGCTCCGCCCCCTTCCCCGCAGTTGTCACTTTCATTATCCATGTTCCTTGGGAACAAACTTCCGGAGGAGAGAGGTGCGCCTCTCTGGGGACGGGAGGAGCAGGCTGGCAGGATGGCCAGAGGTCCCCTCCAGAATGTTTAAGGTCTTCTAGTGCACCCCGGCGCCCCCAGTTTTCTTTCCTTTCCTTTTTTTTTGGGGGGGGAGGTGTAGGTGTAATTGACGGGGCCCGCTAAGTCATCAGAACGACGAAAGCCTGCAGCCTGCGCGCTCCGGGAGCCCCCCCCCCCCGTGCCAGCCGCTCAGTGGGCTCAGGAGCCGGAGCCCGAGCGCTGTCCCCTCTGGGAGCCCAGACTCCTGGTAACCACCCCCTCCGCCCCTCCAGACAAAGGGCACCCGCGAGAGTTTAAGCGGCCAGAGGGAGCAGGCAGGAGCGCGCCTAGCGAGACCTAGCGGACTAGCGAAAGCCTTCGGGGCCTGCGCCTCGGCCTCCCGCGGGCGCCGCGGCGGGGCAGCCCTGGGCTGGGACAGAGGGGCGCGCGCGCGCGCCCGCCCGTCCGGCTGCTCGCCGGAAAGCGCAACCGAGGGACGGGCGCCCCCTGGGCCTGAGCCGGGCCCGCGAGCGCTCTGGCGATGGCTCCTGCCCACCTTGCAGAGGAGCGAGCGTCCGTTGCCTCCGACCCGCCCCCGCGCCCGCTCGCAGAGCCGCGGGGACCTAGGACGCCCAGGGCCAGCGGGCCGAGCGCACAGCAGGCGTCTCGGGCTGGTGCTCCCCGCCTGGCCGGCGCCCCCCGCAGCGGGGCTCGGCACCCAACTCCCTCCCTCCCCAGCCGCCTACAAGTGCCCTCGCGTCCCGCGCCCCAGTCTGAGTCCCAGTCTAGTCCCCTGCGGGCAGCAGCGGCTCGGAGCCACTTGGAGGCGGCCGCCCCCAACCCCTGCCTCTGCGTCCCTTTCCCCTTCCCTGGCTCCAGCCTCCTGGGAAACAAAGGGGCTTTTTATAAAGCGGATTGTTGGCGGCGGCGGCGGCGGCGGGGAAGGGGGAGGGAGGGAGGTGGGAGGGAATCTATAAAGACAAGAGGAGCTGGGAGGGGAGGAAAGAAGCTGCGTGGCCCCGGGGGCCGAGCTGCGTGGCGGCTGGGAAGCTCGGGCTGGTGCACGGGGACCCTGCCCGACCGCCGGCTGTGGGCACCGGCGGAGCCCGCGCCACCCTGCCAAGCATGGAGCTGGCCCTGCGATGCAGCTGCTGTTCTCTCCGCAGTCTGGACGCGATGTGACTTCCCGGTCACCAGCACCGGCCGGGCCATGAGGCGGTGCGGTGCCCGTGCGGGTCTCTCCAGGGGACCCAGACCCTCTCCCTAGACAACTCTTTCAGAATCGCCTGGGCTTGAGGAGACTTTGCGTCTTTGTTACCGCTGCTGGCCGGTCCTAAGCGCGGCGCACTGGCCCTCACAGACAATGTCCGGAGTCCGAGTTGGCCTCGGTCTAGTCCAGCGAAAGGCAAGCCAGGCACTTGCCTTGGGACGGTCCCTGGGGTTCCGCCCGCTGCCAAACAACAAGGACAAGCCACCTAGCAAGGGGTGTCCCACGTCCCCTGGCCAGTTTGTGCTCCTGCATGCCCGCCCGCCTGCACACACCCACCCTGGGGTGCCCTGCTCGGCCGCACCCAGCTGCAGGACGCGGAGGGCTCCAATGCCCCAGCACAAGGCGCATAGGAGAGCCCCAGTTCCGACGGCTGCAGGGCCGGGCTTTTCAGCAGGCGAATCCTATCAGTGTCCGAAATTAATCACGAACCCCAGTCCGCTAGCTTTCCAGGAGGCTTGGGTCACACTGCATCAGGAGGAAGCCTGGCCAAGGCAACTGGCCCAGAAAAGTATTTGGCGGCGCTCCGGGGGGCTTCCCGCCCGCCCTTGCCGGCGCCTGGCTCCGCGCTCTGCCGCCGCCACGGATGCCCAGGAGCTCTGAGCGCTTGGTGGGACAGCAGCAGGGGCTGCGTGGAGCCTCCAGCTCCGCTCTGTTCAGCTCAGGGCCGCTCTCCCAGGAGAAGTTGGCAGGGCTGGGAGTGCAGGGAAGAGGTCCCCGTGCGCACAGCCTTCCCTCCTGCTCCTTGGCGGCCACCTGGTCAGGGCTGGACAATTCTTTCCCTGGCGCCGGCTGCCCATGGCACCCAAAGCAGCCAATGCAGCGTTGCCGCTGACACCTGGGCTGTGAGCGGCCCAGGGCTGATGGGATGGCACAGAAGCCTCCTAGCAGCCCAGGGGAGCCAGGAAGCCGCACAGCTCGCGCCCCTCTCCCTTGCCTCTGGGTGCAGCTGCCTCGCCCGATTTCAGACGCGCCGCGGGCGGCGGGCGGCGGGCGGCGGGCGGCGGGCAAGGAGCAGCAGGCAGAAACCACGGCCCCGGGGCAGACGAGCTGTGCTCCGCCTGGCTGGGCTGGTCAGAGAGGGGCATGGCCAGCCAGCTCCCGGCCCAGGCGGACCCTGTGCTCCGAGCAAACTTTGGGGAATCTGGGCTCTTGACACCCAAGCCCAGAATCCTCAGGTATGGGGCCTGCAAGCCGGGCCACGAATGCACCCTGCAGCCTCCCTCGGGAGCGGTGGGACCTCCCCCGCCCGCCCTCACCCTTACCGTGCTGTGGAGCTCCGGTGTGACCCGGGCAGTGCCCGAGGGGCTGGCGACTGACAGGCAGGCAGCTTGGCCTCCGGCGCCTGCTGAATGGCCGAGCCCGGTTGCAGATGCCCCTGGCTCGAGGCCGCTGCCCCGCGCCCCCGCGCCCGCCGTCGTCCCCTTGGGCTGGGGCTAGGGCTTGGGCTGGGGCTTGGGCTGGGACTGGGGCTGGGACTGAGGCTGGGGCAGGGGCTGGGGCTGGGTCTGGGGTCGGTCTCGGGCTCGGGCTCGGGCTCGGGTTCGGGCTCGGGCTTGGGCTTGAGCTCCGGCTGGGGCTTCAGCTCGCGGCCAAGTTCATGCTGGCTGGTGGCGCTGCAGCGGCGGCCTCAATCTGCTCGCTCCATTCCCACCGCCGGGCTCCAAGCCGAGCCGAGCCGTGCCGCGCCGCGCCGCGCGCCCGGAAGGTGGAGTTTCGGGGTTTAAGTTACTGATAGGCATTTCTCACTGCCGTGTCACTCGGGGAGGAGGAGACACGCACGCCGCACACTCACACACCCTCACACTCGCGGCGGCGAGCGGCTCTGGCCTTAAAGGAGAAGCTGCCCTGAGCTGCCCTGTCCTGCCCTGCCCGCGACCCGCTGGCCCGGCCCGGTCCCCAGCCTTCGCGCACAGGGCTTCGGGGCCGGGATCAGGCCTAGGGCAGCTAAAGAGCCGCAGCCGCCCGAGGGCCCCAGGGTCCTCTGAGACTTTCCGGAGGGCCGAGCAACCGCAGGCTGGCTTCGCAGTGGGCGGGCAGCCAGGGTTTGCTCTAGTCAACCCAAACCAGCAGTTAGGGGAAGCAGAGAGGAGGCCAGCTCGGCCCGGCTCCGGAGAGCGCACTCACCTCCGTGGGTCCGCGCACCGCCGCGCGGTGCGCCCTTGTTGGCAGGTGGCTCGCCGGGCCCGGCCGCTGCGCAGGTGCAGAGGCCACAGACAGAGGGGCGCTAGGCGTCAGGCGCCAGCGGACCTGGCCTGGCAGAGGGCCGGGCGCGCTCACCGGGAGACCCGCAGGCCGCAGCAGGTCCACTTCCCGGAGAGCTAGCTGGAGAGTCGGGTGTGCCCAGCCCGACGGGAGAAACCGGGAGAGCCTGGCAGGGGGCCAGCCTTCAGCGGGGACCAGACCAACTGGGATAGTGACCAAGAGACAAAGACTGGGCACACAGAGAGCCACAGCCCCGAAAGGAGGCACAGGAAGACAGGCAGAGAGACGCTGGGATGGAGAGAGATGGAGAAGCACCCAGACAGGCAGACTGACAGGCAGGAGAGTCTCATCACAAAGCCACCTAGCGGACCCTTTCCCATTCCCAGCAGAGCCTGACTGGACAGCCAAGGCACCTCCTGGCTTGTGGGGGGAGTGGCGCTCACCTGTTGTGGGCAGCTGCTGGGTGGGGAGCCCAGTCTCCTCCCCCTCTCCGCCCACCAGCTCTCCTAGAGGACCAAAGAACCCACTGCAGGCCACCTTGGGGACAGGGGCTCTGGAGTGCCAGCTACTGACCTGCACACGCCCTCTCCCTGTGCAGGGCCCCTCTGGGCTCCCTCTTGCTTTTGGTGCGATGCTGTGGATATTGCTCACCAATGAACTCACCTGGAAGGCAGGGAGCCCTTGCCCAGGCAGGTACTGAGCTGGCCCTCTAAGAGGGGCTGTCCAGGCAGATAGCTTCTGCAGGAGCCTGGGTTCTTTGCAAAGCGCCCAGGCGGCCAGCAGGCACTAGAGGGGAGACGAGTGGCTCCCTTCCCTTCTCCTTGCTGCCCTCCTCTCCTCCCTCTTCTCTTTCCCCCTCTCCAGGTGCGGAGTGCGAAGCAAGCTGGGCTGCACCCTGGCTCCAAGCTCAGCCAACTCCAGGTATGGGTACTAATCTGGACTTGGGCAGGCAGCAGTGGCAGCTATAGAGCGCTGAGTTCAGCAGCCCCAGAGCTCCATGTCTGCTCCTGCTTCTATGCACAGCAGCCACGTGCCGCTCCTGTCCCAACTCTAGAGCAGGAACCCAACGTTGGCTGAATAAAGGAATGATGGAATCCAGGAATAAAGAGGTGGGACAGGGGCTCACGGAGGCCCTTATTCATGCACACCCACACCCCAGGCCTTCGGAAAGCACTGGGCCCCCTCCTGAATCCAGAGAAATCCCTAGGTGGGGCTCCGAGCTGGCCCCCGGTGTTAGACAATGTTCAGCTGTCTGCCTGCGCACCCAGGAAGAGCTCTGTCCTGCCCTGACCACACTGCAGTTGGGTAAAAAGGACTGGTTCACCTGGGCTGGGCCCGCCCTTCTGCTTCAGGGGACAGGTGGGCAGTAGAGGATATTGCTCTCTGGGCATGGCAGTCCATACCTTCAAGGCCCCCCTTGGGAGGAGGAGGGGTCCCCCAGGCTCCAGGTGGCCCCTCCAGCTGAGAGAGCTGCTCGGAGTCTCTTGAAGGGAATCTGATCCAGAAAGCTGAGGCTGAAATGACTGAGGACTGTCAGGGGACACTGGCGGGAGGCCATTAGAATTCCCTCCTGTCCCTCAGTGTGCACTGGCCAGGGAGGCAAGGCGAGGCTGGGGCCCTACTCCCAGTCCTCCACTCAAGCCCCACCGGTGCCCCTGGGAACCCCCCCCCTCTATGTCCTGGAAGCCTGTGACAGTGATGTCAGAGGGCTGATTGCCTACCCCACCTGCATGTCACCCAGCCAGCCACTCGGAGCCGCAGGACCCCACTGACCCTGGCCTCGCCTGCCCGCAAGCCGTCTCCCAGCGGCCTCCATCTCAGCTCATGGCAGTGCCTCCTTCAAGCTACCAGGCCCACCCTGGACTCAGCCTCCTCCTCTCTTCTCTTGCCCACCCCACTTCCGGTCCAGAAGACAATTCTACTGTCCTGTCTTTCAAACACATCTGCAATGGCAGCCTTCTCTGCTCCTCCCTCCAGGGCTACCCTGCTGCTCCCAGCCCCTGGCATCGCCGCTGCCAGATCACTGCAGTAGCCAGTAGCCACTGAGCAGGTGGACCTGTTTGTCCCTCTGTGCCACCCCCTTCTCTGTTCACTGGGTTCTATTGCAGGAGCCTGCGCCATCTACAGGTGGATGACATCCTCCTCCCTCTGCCTCTCCAGCCACAGGGCCTCTTCCCAACACTCTTGGTACCGCTCCACCTTAAGCCCTTTGCACTGCTGGAGCTGTTCTCCAGGGCTAGAATTCACTGCCCCCAGATATCCACGGCAGGCCCCCTCATTTCCTTTAATCTTGGCACAAATGCTGCCTGCCTGATCACGCTGTTAATGTTCCAGTGCCCAACGCCCATCTCTGGCACCTCCTCTCCCCTTCCCTGCTTTCTTTTCTCTCCAGCCCTCCCCAGCAGCTGGCCTCCACTCCAGGCTACATCCCAGAAGGGCAGCCTCCGGTCCCCAGCTTTGTCCACCCCCTCACCCGGCTCCAAACCATGCTAGGCGTGACGTGTCTGCTCCCTTGCTCCACATGGGTCCATTGGGGTTTTCTGAAGCTTTCTAGAAAACTCCAGCAGCCTCAAGGTTGTGCACACCCACTGCCAAATGGACACGTAACTGGCATCACATTTGAAGATGGCCTGTGCCCTGAACAAAGTTTAAGAGGGCTGGGGAGCAGGCAAAAAGCTCTGGGCTGGGCTGGGGTCATGCCACCAAAGGGCACTGTGGCCGAGATGTGTTGGCAGCAGTCTCCCAGGGCAGGCAGCCACGGAGGCACAGAGAGTTTCTGTGGTTGTCACTGAAGGCACCCATGGCTGATGGAGAAGTGGGAGAGGTGGCCAGGATGGAGGCTGGCTGTAGCCGTCTCCTCACTGAGGAGACTGAGACAGCCGGCTGGGGCCCTTTTCCCCCCCAAAGTGCGGGACTGGGTCTTGAGCTAGCAAGGCATGCCCCTGTGTTTCTCCAGAGCCCCTCTGTGTTTTCTCTACAGGAGTCCTGCACCCAGAGAGGTGTGAGAAGTATTCTTGTGCTGTTCTAGGTCAAGAAATGGGGAGGGGCTCAGATAGGCTCTCAAGTGTCAGAACAAGAAGCAACTGGCCCCCTCAGCTTGGGTCACGTCCACTCGCTATGTGGCCACCTGCCCAGGGTGGACAGCCCGGCTCTGCAGATCCTGGCAAGGAAATAGCTGCAGTATGGGTCTCCCAGAGCTGCAGTTTCCCTGGGGATTCTCCTCGCTTTGCTTCCCAGTGGCTGCCCTCGGGTGGGTTGAGGCTAGGGTTGCGCAGCCCAGGAGCACCCCACCAAGGCACATGTCCGCCCTGTCTTTGGTCTGATGTAAATGTGGAGCTCCACAGATTTGACAGCAGCTTAGCTTTCCTAGCCAGAAACCTGTGAACTTATGCCAAGTTTTCCCAAGCTCACAGGTCAAACTCTGGGGCCTTACCCAGGCGGTCTCTGGAATTCTGTGGGGGGACACAGCAGGCTGTCCCAGAAGAAGGAAACACGTCTCGCTGACCCATCCATCATCATCCGTTGCTCCCAGTTCTTCTGTGGCTCCTTAGTACCCTGCTGAGGGCACTGAGTTTCAGCTCCTCGGCCTGACAACCAAGCTCCTGCCTAGGTGCTGGACGCCAGCCTCTATCTTCAGATTCTTCTTGCGGTGCTTTGCCCCATTTCCTGCCTGCTGGCTTGCTCTCGGGACCCCTAACAATCTGGCTCTTCCCACTTCTGCATTTCTCATGCTGGCTCTCCTGGTGAAACCCTGCCTGACCCTCAGGGCTCATCTCAAAGGCCAAGGCCCCTCCTGAAACTCCTCCCACACCATCACAACACTGGAGTCCTCTCTCCCTGGGCCATCAGGGCTCTGGCTCTCTTTTCCTAACCCCTCAGCCCTTTGTCCCTGGTTCTTCCTGCTTCCCTAGTTTCACACTGGCTTTTGGGGATCCCCCAAAGCCTCCTGAAGGACTCATGGTTCACTGTCAGTAAGGTGAAGTGGGGTCCAGGGGGGCCCTCTAAATAGCAAAGTTGGGACCAGGAGAGGGTAAGTGAGGTCCCAGATGTGGCTGTCACATCTCTGCTGCCGGCAGCAAAGCTGCAGAACCTGGCTCTGGAGCTCCAGGCTCCCCCTTCCTAGCTTTCCCACCTCATTTGCACCCAACCCTGGCCTGGTGCTCTGCATTCCATGAGCCCAGCAGACTGGAGGGAAGTCAGGAATGAGGACAGATCCAGGTCAGGGCATGAGAGGACCAACCAGATGTCTTATACAGTGACAGCAGCTGGAACTTGGTGTGGGAGGTGGGAAGCCCTGATGGAGCCCAGCTCTGCTGCTTGGGGGCTGCACCGCTCCAGTCGCAGGCCTCTGACTTATGCATTGGGCTCAAGGTGGTATAGTATCTGCATTCTTCAGTGTGGTCAGGGTTGCAGTTCTCCCTGCATAGGACACCCTCAGTAGGTGCCTGACCTTTGGCTCACTAGCCTGCTGAGACGAGGGCCAAGCGCCCCCAGAGCCAGGAATCAGTATGGAATCTAAGC